ATGTCTATTGAGGTCCTTGGCCCATCTCTTAAGTGGGTTGTTTGTTTTGATCTTGTGGAGTTCCTTGATTTCTTTGTAGATTCTGGTTATCAACCCTTTATCAGTTGCATAGTTTGGAAATATATTTTCCCATTCTGTCGGTTGTCTCTTCACTTTCCTGACTGTTTCTTTTGCAGTACAGAAACTTCTCAATTTGATGCAATCCCAAATGTTAATGTTGGCTTTGACTGCCTGTGCTTCTGGGGTGTTTTCCAAGAAGTCATTGCCGGTACCTATATCTTTCAGGGTTTTTCCAATGCTCTCTAATAATTTGATGGTGTCAGGTCGTAGATTTAAGTCTTTAATCCATGTTGAGTGAATTTTTGTGTAAGGTGAAAGGTAGGGGTCTTGCTTCATGATTCTGCATGTGGAAATCCAATTTTCCCAGCACCATTTATTGAATAGACTGTCCTTACTCCAGGGATTGGTTTTGGATCCTTGATCAAATATGAGTTGGCTGTAGATGTTTGAATTGATTTCTGGTGTTTCAATTCTGTTCCATTGGTCTATCCATCTGTTTCTGTACCAGTACCATGCTGTTTTGATTACAACTGTATGGCTGGTAACATTTAAACAGATGCCATCGTACCGCATAAAAAAGAGGGTGGAAAAGTCAGTAGTAAAATGAGTTTGGAAAGGCAGTACCTCAAAAAGAAAATCTGAATGCTCAACAAAGAAAAAATTAGCAAATTCATTAGAATTCAAGAAAATGCAAATTCAACTGAAAAGCTATTATGTGTCACAATGCCCTATTGATAAGAACTTGGGTTCTTATACACAGTGGTTGTGAGTGAGGATAAGAACATGGAGAGAGCCAGTGCCCTGGCTCAATAGGCTAATCCTCCACCTGCAGCGCCGGCACACTGGGTTCTAGTCCCGGTCGGGGTGCCGGATTCTGTGTTGGTTTCCCCCCTCTTCCAGGCCAGCTCTCTGCTGTGGCCCGGGAGTGCAGTGGAGGATGGCCCAAGTGCTTGGGCCCTGCACCCGCATGGGAGACCAGGAAAAGCACCTGGCTCCTGGATTCGGATCAGCGTGGTGCACCAGCTGCAGCGGCCATTGGAGAGTAAACCAATGGTAAAGGAAGACCTTTCTCCCTGTCTGTCAAAAAAACAAACAAAAAAAAAAACAAAAAAAACCAAAAACAAAAACAAAAACAATAAACAAAAAACAAAACCAAAAACATAAAGAAAGGCAATTGCACATAAAGACTTAGGGAAAGTAAGCTAAAAAAACACTTTGGAAAGTAATTTGACTTCTGAATTACTGTCGAAGATGCATACCTAATAACTTAGTAGTTTTACTCCCTACATTTATACCCTTGTGAAACTCTTACCACTGTGCAATAAAAAGACACCATTATTTATTACTATTGATTAACCAAGGAAAGAAAATCCATATTGTTCTGTCAATAGATGCAGAAACATCTATTGAAAATAGTCTTTACCCATAATAAGATAAAAGTTTGTTGTGAACTTTAATCAAAAAGATTGTTTCTAAAACTGTTAAAGTGATTGATTAACATCCTCCAGCAAGCATCATACTTGAATACTGAATGATTGTAAAAATTTTTCTTTAAAATCACCTTTAAGAGCTACTTAAATAAATGAAGTTGCTACATAAAAGATGAATTTAGGTAAATTAATATGTATTTTATAAGGAAAACAAAACCACACATTGGTTTAATCTAACAATATGAATTTATAGATGAAATAATATATACAATCATAAAAATTTTATTGAAAAGTGACAAAATACACATTTTCCCAGCATTAATCTATGTATTCCTTCTTGCTCCAATCAAAATCCATTATGAGGTAACTCCTAAATTTATAAAGTTTGAGAATATATTATTCAGAAGAAGATAGATTTGCCCTAGAGGAAACTATTGTAAAAGTATGATAACAAGTCTAATAT